ATTTATTATATTATTAATTCTATATAATATTAAATTATTATTTAAAAATACTATTTCTGTTCTGTATTTTTAATAATTATATAATAATAAATAAAGAAGAAGTTTTAAATATAATAATCTTGTCTGTCTTGAATTAGTTTTTTATATGAATTCTATTTCTTTATCTTTTTTTAAAGCTTAATTCATTAAAAATAGAATTCTTTTTAATATTAATATTAGTTTTGATTTTATTTAAGAAGTTCATATTTATAATTACTAATTATATTTTAACTTTAATATTATTTACTTTTATTAGACTTATAAGTCTATCAATAGTTAATAATAAATTATTAATAGCTTTAAGAAATTATTTTAATATTTTATTTATATTAGATATAGTAATATTATTTACTTTTATTAGAATTATAAGTCTATCAATAGTTAATAATAGATTATTAATGGCTTTAAGAAATTATTTTAATATTTTATTTATATCAGATATAGAATTTATTAAATCTTTAGTTCTATATCTTTAATAAATATATAAAAAGTAATATATTTAAAAGTATCAGTATCAATAATTAAATTAATTATATTCTTTTTTACTTTAACTTCACACTATATAAATATTATTTTAAGTTTTTATTCAAGTATTACTCTTTTTTATTTAAATTTGAGAATTATAACTTGATATATTTCTTTAATAATTATATTTTTTATAATAATAAAGTCTAAATAAGCTAAATAATAGTTATATTTGTCTTTTATTAAGCAAAATCTTCTAGAATATTATAAGATTTAGTTATAGTAATGAATATTAATAATATAATTTTTCTTTCTTTTTGCAAATAATCATTTTATTAAGATTTTTATCAAGAATTTTAAATAATTTAATATTATTTATTTCTTAATTATTATTAATTTCAAGAATATTTTTCTATTTTTCTTCTTTAATAATATTCTTGAATCAATTTATTGATCTAATTTTATAAGAAATAACTCTTGAGTTTTTAGTTTTTCTATCAATAGTCAAGTATTCATATATAATAAAAAAAGAATTTATATTATCAAATTGAATAATTAAAGTTTAAATAATATTTATAAGAGCTTGTATTTGAGTCAATAATACTATTTAATTATTATTAGAGTTTTTATTATTTTTGAGAGTTGACTGATTTGATAGAGTTATTTTGTTACTAATTATTTCCATTTGATCTTGACTAATTATTTCAAAAGTTATTTTGATTATTCTTGAATGGTTTAGACTTGAGATAATTAGATCAAATATATTCTTGCTCATCACAATTATAATAAGTAGAAATATTACTGAAATTTTAAGTATTAGATTTATAATTAAAATTATTTTTATTATAATTTGATTTTCTATTAGATTTTACATTTTTTATTTATTGATTAAGAGCTTGAAGTGCTATCAAAATAGTATTCAATATTAAATTCTCTTGAGTTTGAAATTGATAATATTTACAAGTTGATATATCTGCATTAGCTTTTTCTATATTTTTGATAACTTTCACTATATATCTGAAAGTTCTATCAGCAGATATTTTTGAATTTCAGATTTGAGTTCTCATCTATAGATTCTAATTTTATATTCTTCAGGATATTTATTATTAGGATCTACTTTTCAAAGTAAATTGATAAATTTATCAGTATATTCTTTAACAGTATCTATTTGTTATAAGATTTTAATTTTATCTTGTCACTAATCTATTCTTTCTTTGATTTAGAAATAGGCAGTAAATTGATAACTGAAACTGTGATCTTGATTATCCTTATCATTTCAAGTTATTAGTTGGATAACATCATTTTTACTTTTTTCATCATATCAAAGGACAGCTGTGTATTTTTTAGATATTCTCAGATAAGTTATACTTTCCTAGCATTAGTTATTTCATTAGCTTGAGTAATGATATTAAAGTCTCTAAGTTATTCAGTAGAATTATAATTATTTCTATGATATTTCCTAGAAAGAAGGTGGTAGGAAAAAACAAGGTGTTTTCCGAAACGCACAGTCTGTTTATATGCGTTAAAGCTCTTGTGATCGCACCGCATCAGATGATTTTTATCACTTAATAATTTTCCAAATAATTTCCGGTACACTGTTTATTTATAACAACTTTTTATAATAAATAATATAAATATAACTTGTAATAACTTGAGATTGTTGAACTAGTAATAGGATTAGCAATCTTGCTATGCTTGTTTACTTGAGTATGAAAAAAAAGAAAAATTATGTTGAAAATTGCTTAGCAGCATTGAAAGCAAAAATTATTTGTGGAAGATCAAAAATTATCAGTACATACAGTAATATGGGAAATAAATACTGTTAGAAACTTTCAGATTAAAGATATGTATAGTAATTAGATGTAAAAAGGGCATTTTAGACTAGTAAAATTGAAATATTTGACGCAACATATAGCTTTCATCAGGACAAATAAATCTCAAAGCTTGGTGTAAATCTTTATTGACATATTTGCCCGTCCTATAAAAGTCGGCAGCTCTACACATAGCAGACGGAAATCCTTTTTCAGCTGCTTTTAGAGTCCAAAATGCATAGATTTTCCCGTGTTGATATTCAGCGTATTTAACCATGCCCTGTGGATGTCCAGCTTTTGCTGCTTTCTCATAGAATTCTATGAGCTTTTCATAATTGTAGGGTGTTCCACAGCTGATACGAAAGCACATTCCTACTTGTGTTAATGCAAATCCATCTCCTAATTCTGCGCCGATGTTGTAGTATTCGAATGTTTTTTTTGACATGCATTGTGTTCCTATGCCATATTGATGGCAAAATCCGAGTAGACTTGCTTGTAAAGCATATTTTGAATTTGCTTTTGTTGCTGATGATGACGCAAATTTTGTCAAAAGCAATTCTAAAGCATCCGTTTCACTTTTTTTACTCTTTGAGATGTGTTCAACGATTATCTGGCATACTCGGGTATCCCAATATTTGTAAGTTGCGTCGTCATATAATTTCAAGAGAACTTGAATAAAATCTTCATCTGTTGAATGCAATAATACACCCGACTTTGTTGGTGTTATTTTATCATCCATATCGCAATCAAAAGTACATACATGTACGTACGTTCTGTACATGTATTTATATTTATTTCATCATCGCGCATTACACCATCATTTCCGTATAAGAACAATAAATCATATTTATATTGTGTCAAATTAGAGACAGATCTTCAACATCCTACAACGTAATGAATTTTCAATAAAACTTCCTCGTAAATATCAACTTTAGTCATATTACGGTATATAACCTAATAACGATAAGATAGAACAGCTTTGCTGACAAATAAAATGAGCTTATTCTGATTATGATCATCATAAACTGTATTGGTAAATAAAACAACTTCTTTTGATAAAGATTAACGTTACATGTAATCATAACGATAACAATAAATACATGTATCGCTATCGCTATGCGCTTCCCATAAAAATGGAAAATTCTTACTATATATTTAAAGATGACATTACTGGACAAGAAAGAGACTTTATTGATGGTCTCATAAAAATATATAATGAAACTACATACCTTGGATGGGATGCGAAAATAAAATATGAAATCGATAAATACCAAATCACATATCAACGAACAAGAGAAGAATCATTTCAACTTCTTAAATCTTTATTTTCTTCCCCATTATCCAAAAAAGATGCTATTCATGCAAGTCTTCTCGGATTCTGTTATCATTACGGAGTCGGAACAAAACCTAACAAAGAGCTTGCACTCAACTACTACAAAATAGCTGGCGACTTAAAAGACGGCTTTGCATTAGCACAATTCGGAACACACCAAAAAAAAAGAAAGTATTCTCCTACAAATAAAGCATATTATTTAAAGAATGCAGCAGCGACAGGACATCCACATGGTGTTTTTAATTTTTCGTTTTATCAAAGTAAAAGAGAAATGTCTTTGATAGTTCGAAAGCTAGCTGAGAAAGATTATTTACCGGCTATTTACAGATATGTTCGAGCCTTGCATTCAGGAAACGATTGTAACAGGGATTTACATCAAGCGCTCAGATATGCTGTAAGGTTTCATCGTGTTTCGAGCATTGAAGGAGAAGAATATAATTTCACATTTATATTTCGATTACCTAGAAAGTTTTTTTATTGAACTTTTTGACGTAAAATATGAGAACATTTATTTTGCATATATTTTTTTTTATATTAAATTAGTTATTCTTTATAACATTTATGATGCAAAAGTTTGTTCTTTCTCTAATAATTTTTTATTGTTGATTTATTTACCTCATTTCATAATTTTGCTATATAATTGATAAACTTAATTTATTTCTAGATAAAAAATTTTAGTTTATAAATTATATTAATTTTAAATATTTATGTATACTTCGAATTGATTTAGTATATGTTAAATATATTTTCTTTGAATATTTTGACTTGAAATATTTAATAATATTTACAAGTTTTTTTAATTGACTTTAGATTTTTTATATATATATTTTTATTATTAATAAACTGCTAAAAATTAAAACTTTCAAGTTTTTATGAAGAGAAAGAGATAATACCATTCAATTAACTACTTGGAATGATAATCAAGATCAACTATATAGTTTTAGTTATTAATTGCTACACATTTCTATTTACATCTATAGATTGAAAATATGAAGTAGTAAGAACAGATAAAAATTTAATTTGAATATTTATATGATAGTTAAATAAATCAGAAAGCATATATATATTTTTCTAGCCTGTATCATGTTTACTTTATTATATAATTATAACTTCATTAATTAATATTATTTACTCTTGAATAGCCATGATTATAATTATGTCTATTTTCATGATTATTTGATCTAATATGGTGTTGGAAATCTTAACTTGCCAATTGTTTCAATTTCTTGTATGTAATGTAATATCATATACTATATAATGTAGCTAATAATGTCACAATATTAAATACATGTGATAATAATTATTTGATTACTATTATAATACATCTTTAATTATTATTGATTAATAATTATTTAAGTACATATTATTAAAATTTTATTATTATTTATTTATCAATAATATGACTTGAACTTATTAATAGTTTACTTAGTGACTCTATTCTTAATTCTTTATCATATGTATTCATATATCTTCATGACTTGTAGATAAACTTGTAAATAATAGTTATAAATATATTATTAAGAGTCTCTGAAATCTGATTCAATAAGTCTATATAATTATAAGTACATATTTTTCTAGTTTCTTACTTTACAAATCTTAATAATATTCTATAAAGTTATATTTATAATAAAATTTTGGATATTATTCTAAGATATATCCTGCTTTAATAATTACTTTCTTTAATATTGACTGTTTTATTCAAGAAAATTAGACTGTAGTAATATAATTTTTTTTATATAATAGTCTGATCTTTCCAAGTTATCATTAGCAAGTTTTTCAAAATAATATTCATATACTAAATAAATCTTTATAAATCAAAGATTATATTTAATAAGTACTTACTTTATATCTTTTAATTTTTTTCTCAACTAATTTACTAAATGATTATCAGAACTATTATTAATTATATACATTTCTTATTATATTTATTAATAAATTAACTATCTATATTTTAGATTATATTTTTCTAGGATTCAAGTTTATTTTTATAATAATTAGCATATTCTCTATTATAAAATTATAATTTATTAATTAATTAAAATAAAAAATATCAGTATATCCAGAATATAATATCTCAAATATCAGATTACTTTATATACAGTATATATATAAGCTAGTTTAATATATACTTTGTTCTTTAATATTTATATGCTTGAACAGAATAAAAAATAAAAACTCTATATTTTTGATATGTGAATTATCATATAATTATTAATTAGATAGTTATAATAATTTGTGATATGAATAAAGAAAAATTGAAATTATAATAAAGTATTTTAAGTATTTTGAATATAAAATATTTTTTTTTAAATTCAGATTCTTTATTATCCATTATTTATATAAAAATAATATTTATTATACAGTAATAATCAAAAACAATATAATGCTTAAATTTTTTATTAATTATAATTAGTAAAATATGTATTTTTTCTTACATATAAAAATTTTTAATTT